CTCTCTGCACACACACACACACACACACACACACAGGCGTTAATTGCTCAGAGATGTAGCATCGACACGGCTCAGTTCAAGAGGTCAACGTCAATAATAGCAGATTGGAAGATTGGATTAGATATGCTGTGTGTGTGTGTGTGTGTGCTGAAGCACGCGTCGCCACATTAACTTGGAGGGGGATGGACAATAAACTGACGGGACAGACGAGAGAGAAGGACAAAGAAATAAAGAAGAAAACAAGCCGAGAGGAAGAGGAGGAGAAATCAGGCCGAGTGAGCAGAGGAGGGAAAAACACGAGTATTAATATTTTATCAAACCAAGAGAGCGAAGAGGGGCAGACGAGCAGAGGAGGGGCTGTAGTAAAGCAAGGAAACAGCTGACGAGTCATTACCTGCGACGCCTTCCTCACATTTTATTCTGTGAACCTTTGATGCAGGACTTTAGACTGTAAACTACATTCATAACATGAAATAAACGCCTGTAGATTCCCACAGTGGGGCCTTCAGCTGCATCACAACATGTGTGATCATAAATTCTTATGATTTGAAAACAGCTTCTAAACTTACATGATAAGGTTTCAGGATGAGATGCAAATCTTCCCATATGGAAAAGAAATAGTAAAAACATATATGATTTACTCATGAAAGTGGCCACTTTCTCATTACTTTCATATATTTTGTTAGTAAGTATACAAAACATACAAGTTTCATTATATAATTTTTCAAGGGATCTTATATGTGTTTTAACTCTTGTATGCTTTTCATACAAGTTTCATACAAACTTTATAAGATTTATATATATCTTTTCCATATGGGTTTCTAATCTTAAAAAGATTTCTTTGGACTGAATCCAGAAACAGACACATTCGTACTGAAGAGTCTTTTTCACTCTGATCAACATTTTCATGAAATACTTAAAAAACTGAACTAACGAACAACCAACAATAAAAACGACTTTTTACCATTTTTCAGCTTTTGATGCTGAACGTGTCTCACGTCTCATCCATGTTTACTGCATCATTCTCAGAGTTACAGCATCGTTGCTACAGGTGGACGAGGAGGCGCCCAGTCCAACAGCCTCACGTGTAGTTGGCGTTCCTATAAACACGATGTTTTATACAAACATTCACATGAGTTAAAATCAGATAAAAGTGGAACACGTGTTTGTACAGCAGGAGCAGAAAACCTACAAACTAAAGCAGGACTTTAACACTTTAAGTAAACGTGTAGTTCCTGAATTTGAATTTAGTTGCAGGAGGCGTGAACAGCTGACTCTGTAAGGACGCGGCGTGCAGGCAGTTTCCACCCACGCCGCTGTGGCCACGCCTCTTTCAAACAGATAATTATGGATTCGTGGAGAATACAAATATGCGGCTGCAGATTTGGGAACATTAAAATAAAAAATAAATTGTGACCAGTTGGAAGAAACAAAGCTTTCGTTGCATGTGGAGTAAAAACATTAGAATCAGTAGAGTGCTGATGGCGTAGCAGCTTCTATTGTAGGCGTGCTCCTGTGCGGTAGCCGCTACAGGCAGCCAGTGTTTTGCCTTCAATATTGAAGTGTTTTGCTGGGTAATGATGGCGACGGCGGCGCTGTAATGGGCGCAGGCTGCAGCTCTCAAGCTTCAGCTTTGTTTTACTGGAATATAAAAACTAGATGAAGTTCACCGGCTGGATCTTCATAAGCTTTTTCCTCTGTGTTCAGTGCTGCCAGATTCTGGGATGGTTCCCACTCTTGGCTCTGCTCCTCGCTGTAGCTGATGCAGTCAGTTTAAAAACCAGCCTCCCACTGCAGTCAAAAGCTTGTGGCGTTAATGCTTGCTGTGTTTTCTCCTGCCAGTTACTGGGATAACTTCCACTCCTGTGCCACGACGGCGCTGGCGGACTGCCAGGAGGGAGCGACGGACCTCTGGGATAAACTGAAAAAGGAGTCCCGAAACCTGAATTTCCGCGGGAGTTTGTTTGAACTCTGTGGCGGCGGCAACGGAGCCCCCAGATCTGCCAACGCCAGGGGCCTCGCCTTGGTCCTAACCACACTGCCCACCATACTGACTTGGCTGGCGTTTTAACAGAAAAGAGGAAAAACATGGAAACGCAAAGCGAGAAGAAGTAAAAAAAGAAAAAAAAAGGAAAAATCCGACTGAAAAAAGAAAATAGGAAAAGAGCGATAGCTGCTCTTCCAAAATACTTCAAAGTTTGAATTCATCACAAGAAAATACTCCCCGAATGGATTTCTACTGCTAGGTCACCGCACGGCGGCCCAGGTCGCCTTCCTGGGACATCTGCAGGCCGCCGTCCTCCCGGAGCGTTCATCCAATCACACGCAGACGCAACCCAGAGGCCGAAAACATGAAATATTCAACACGCCTTTGAAACGATGACAATGATGAAAATGTGATGGATTCCCGTCCGCTTACAACCGTGGAATTACACCGTATTAAAGTCAACCATGAATTATTGATGTTTAGTAGGCGCGGCCTAGACAGCGCGGTGTGACTGCAGGGCGCTGACACTGTATCAGGCTATATATTAGAGCCCCCATATAGCCCATGGTACATATTCATGTGTAACGCGAGGCCACAAAATCAATAAGACGAGCCGAGGCCTCGAGCCGATTCAGACCTGACGCCTCATTTTCACCACGGACAGATTCTCCTTTTACTTTGTCTTTTTTTATTACGCCAAGTAGACTCTGTGGTATATTTGATGGACTGAATGCTTCGTGTAATATTTGTACTCGTATTGGCTGTTTGTTGTTTTCAGGCCACGGTCACACCAGCGCTAAATGCAGCCGTAATAACTGGCAGCAAAGACAGCTTACCAAAATTACACGTTTTACAGGCAGAAAAACTGCAATGACCTTTGACCCCTACAGCATGGCTCTCAATCAACAGTATTCTTACATTCATAGTATTGTACTCGGTTGTGGAGCTGGCCGGGTTGCTGCCATGCCACGTTTCTGGTGTGACCGTAGGCTTGTTTTTCTTGACCAAACTCTGAGGTGCAGAGATGTGGTGGAGTATCAAGCCTGCTTGTCCTTAAAGAACAGTTTATACTGTTGTTAACGTGCATGATATCAGTTCAGAGACTCTCAAAACATTTCAGGAAATGGGCACAAAAACATTAAATGTTTTATAAGACGTCAGGTTCAAGTTAGTTTTTGCCTCTGTTGGAAGGACACTTGTACTATCTCGATGTTTCATTTCTGTATTATTAGAATTGTTCATTTTGTTACTGCTTTTTGTTGGTAATATAAACTCAACACTTCCTGTAAGAGTTTCAAATTAAAAGCCCTTAAGAAATGATCACAACAAAGAACAACACAAAGTGAAAATGGCACAGTTACATTTAAGCAACAGCTGATGACAGGTGACAATATATTGTGAATAATAAGGACATACAGCTGACTTTTAACCAAGTATTGCATTATTAATGTTATGGACAGCATTAATTTTAAACTCTTTTATTTACAAGTGCATAAAGCACTCAAAAAGCTTAAATTCAAAGTAATAAGCCCTCCTGGGCACCAGCACATAGTGCCAGGTAGTTACTATGCAACATACTAGATGTTTTAATTTTAGCTTTTTAAAAAAGAAATAAAAGATTAATTGCCATTATTTAAGCATTTGTTTATTTATATGCTGGAATTTATTGTGCAACCACTTAAAATCTGTCCATGGTCAGAAAACAATAGTCAAGAAGTAAGCTAATGTTAGCCAGCTAGCTGTAACTTGGCACCTCTGTTTAAAGTTTTCGTAACATAAACGTATAAAATAATGAACACATGATAAGCTAACAAACTTTGTAATCCAGATCAACCCTACGAGTTTTGATGTGACCGCTAGATTACTTTACTATGTTGGTTAGCTAACAAGCCAGGATTAGCTAACATTAGCCAGCGGTAAGCTAGCTTGAAGGGACTATTTGGATTCCCACAACTAAAGAAATTTCCTAAACTGAATCTAACTCATTGTTTTGGCCCCACTAGATTAAACTGGCTTTATTCTCGCTAATGTTTGCTAACTTGTTTGTGATCATGTAAAGGTACTTTACCGTAGCTAACAGTTAGTAGAATTACATGATTTAGGATATGCCCAGTTAAACTAAGTAATTATATTATAACAGCAGAAATGTACGTCATATGTAAGAGACATGCATAGCTTATGTCTTACATTTGTTTTCCCAGGTTGTATTTGGAGACAGACTTTATTTATTTATATCAACTGTGCTTCCTGCGATGATCAGAGAGATACCGTTTAATTAAAAACTACAAAATTCTGTTTGAGAATATAAGCTAGCTGTAACCATATTGTGTCCACACCTCCAAATCTAGCATGACTCAGTGAAGCAGGCTATGCTCAAAGTGAATCAACGTGTAATAACTTAACAGTATGACAGTAGTTCAGCTAACATTTAAAGAGATCAGAGTAGCTAGCAGGTTGGAGGCTAAAGCAGATAGTACTTGTGTTAGCAAGTAAATTGGATTGCCATGGGTTAGTAACTAAAAAATATTACATCAGGTTAGCTAACAGTTTGTATTTGCAGCTAAACCAAACACTGTTTAGCTTTAGCTTCTCCTTCATGAATTACCCTTCAGGTAGAACATTTCCTCACAGAGATGATGATGAATGTCTTAAATCACTGTAGCCAAAACCTTAATGGTTTATAGCTCGAGAAAGTTGTTAAGACGTGCTCATTTCCTGAAATCCCACGAGACCAAGGACTCCGACTGATGGAAACTTGTTTTGGATGTGAAAGTAGCAACACATTGAAATTAACTTTAGTTCCTGTTGGTGGGTGACATCCGCCATCTTTCATATCAGCACAACCACGTGTTAGAAATGAATGACTGTGAGAGCTAAACGGTTACTGCGAGGAGAAGCTGAGAGCAATACGAAGACGCGACTTCATGGCCAGTGTAGCTGAAAAAAAAAAAAGAAATCACAAAAAAATGATGATTAAAAAAATCAAACCGTGGCTGAAGAGTGATATGACTGTTGCCATTAAGCACATCCCCCCCTTTTCATTCCAGTGATCCATACTAGACGACCTTAGCGGTGATATATTTTAGGTCTGTATGTTAGATTAAAAGCAGAGTCCCAACAGTATAGTAGCATCATGAACTACATAAATACAGTAAATGAATTTGAGGGAGTTTATTTCTTTGCCGAGGCACCGACAATGTTTCCACTGCCTTCTGATGAAAAGATGTGTACTTCTGTTTGTTTGTTTGTTGGTTTGTCTCTTTGTTTGTTTATGGGGATGTTGCAAAAAGAGTTTAAAAAAAAATCTTACGAAAATCATCTAAGAAGAGAAAATGTATATGAAAAAGGATTTTAAGAAAATAAAAACTCTATTATAGATAATCTATCCCAGACTTTACAGATTATAGGCCTACTGAGATATTAAAAGATGAATAAATAAATAAAAGATTGCTAAAATGATGAAGAGTATTAAATAAAACGACAACTGTTTGAAAATGATTGTGTGCTGTGGTTTTAATCTGGTTTGCTGAGTTTGAGATGATGGAGCTGGGTTCGGAGTGTTTTCATTATTAATGAAGGAGAGTCCCTGAGCTGCCACATGTCTCAGCTCTCAGTTTATATTGACTGAGACAAAGAGGTTCAGGAGGAAGAGGAAGGGGGAGGAGGAAGAAGGCTGACTGCGTATCCTGCTGAAGACGTCATTTGGATAATTCATGCTGCCAAAACCCTCAAACCGACCTGGATTTGATTTTATATGGACCGTCTTTAAAATATCTGATGAACATCACAGGATGAAATAAATCTGGTGTTCATGCGTCAGAAAATTAAGGAAATCTTCTCATTAATTACCTTTTGTTTAACTGTTTTTTTTAAGCAGCATTCAGCATAAGACCTTCAGATCTTCTGATGCTTTAATGACAGAACTCTAAAATATTCTTGCTGATGAACAACATCAGCAACCTTTTTCCATCTGGGAAATATCAATAGTTGCCCGGTGGATGGACTGAATTTATTTACTGAATTTATTTACTGATTGGAAGCAGTTGCAGTGACCAACTGGTCATCCAAAAGTTGAGCAACCAATAGGCGACCACGTTCGATTGAAAGGCGATTGCACCGGCCGTCTGGTGGGAGGCAACCTGTCTCCAATCACTGAACTCTGACTGCTGGCAGTGACTTTTAGATTGCAAACAATTGCCGACTAATTTCCAAACAGATTGCCAACATGTTGCAATCAGTCTGAGTCTGAGCTGATGAGCTCCTGACGTGTTTCACGTGGCTGTATTCTGGTTATATTTCTGTATAAAAGCCAGGATTGTTGCCACATGTGTAAGTTAGCAATTAAATTGTCGCACACATGATCCACATCTTTGAAGAAACCATTTCAAAGGCAACAGAATCGCAGGTTCATTACATACAGGTGCAGTAATGTAGGTCATGTCTCCCACCACAGGATTTGGACCCTTTCAGCAGCAGTTTTGGGCCAATTCTGGTAAATGGTAAATGGCCTGCATTTGTATAGCGCTTTTCTGGTCCTTAAGGACCCCAAAGCGCTTTACACTATTCTGCCTAATTTTACCAGCTGCTACGTGAAGCATTTAAACAAAACTGTGGTTTGTTGTTCGAATGAAAGGAGGCACGAGCTCCATTAAAATGTAAAAATAGAAATATTAACGTTTTTGAATGTACGTATGAATATGAGATATTATACATGAAAATGTTCTTGTTTATGAGTCAAATTCAACAACAGAATGAACTTTCTTCAGATGTCTGTTACTTTACTCCAGCATAGTAAAGAAATATTAAAAACTACAAAATTAATAAGCTTCAAAATTTACAGATTTTTATCTTGGAGGCAAAAGATTTGAACCAAGTATAGACTCTGACATTTGCAAATGGTGTAAAAAGGTAAAAATGAAATAAAAATAATTAGGTTTAAATGACCAGATGGACAAATGTGAACGATGAATCCAGTTTATAGGAACCAAAGTTCCTCTAATGTCCAGCAGAAGCTCCCGATCGATCACCCAGCACACGACACCAAACCAGACTCAGAATAAGCTGTTTGACAAGTTCTTCATGGCTGCAACCCACAAATGCATCACTCATTACCAAACTGACCACAGCAGAGGCGGGAGCCCGCCACAGCTGCCATAGGCCGAGTGGTGGGAGCACACCTGGGCAGGTCTTTTGCACGGCGACAGCGCTAACCGCTGCACCACCGCACCGCCCAGTCTGGAAACCAGTTTCAGGTTTTCCAGCCACTTCACTGAACACTAAAAACCAGAAATGCCAACATCACAAACTGAGATCAGGATGAAACCAAACATGTGGACTAACAGAGGCTGTTGGGACAAACGGCCGATACACTGATGTCAGGACGTGTCGGGACCTGCAGTCATGATGCTTTTTACTTGTTGCAGGTTATTTTCCTGCAGGTTTCCTGTGTGTCTGTAATGTGGGTGCTCGTGTCAGACATGAGGACGTTTTCCTGTCAGCTGCACCACAGCTGTTCAAATTCTTTAAGCTTTAATGAAGCTGCAGTACGCGTGCTGCGGCTGCCGCAGGGATGCGCATGCGCGCCGTGTTTCTGCATTAATATGGATGTGATGGGGAGGGAAGCGAGGACCGGGCAGATCCTCACAGAACATGGAGGAAAGGTCCTCCACTTCCTCCTCACGGAGAAGCTCCAAACACCTGCAGACCTGCTCAGGAGATGTTTCATCAGGATTTCATGTTAAAGCCAATATTTTCCTTCTTCTATAAGAAAACAATAAAAGGAGTCCAATATGAAAAAACAGGATCAGTTTTAAAGGCTCCAAATATTCAAGTCCTCTCACCTTAATTTAAATATCTAAAAAAGACAAATGTGTTCATCTCCAGATGTTACAACACAAAGAGAAGCTCACCTGAAACCAGACGATCAGCGAAACGAGACGAGAAAAAAACCCTGGAAATAAAACCCTGAGCTGCAGTAACTGCCTGAAGAAAACAAGAGCAGGCGCGATTTGAGGCGAGCTGCTCATTAAACATGTATGGAGGGAAGCCTGCAGGATGGAGGGAGTCCCGCGGGATCCGCAGGCTTCTAATAGTCTGACCCGTTTTTTTCAGCCTTTCCTGAAAGAACAGGAGCGCACACCGACTCGGCCTCCTTTGTGTTCGCAGCACAAGTGTGATATAACATGATAGAAGACAGGACTCACACGTCAGGTAGTCTGAGGGGAGGGGGGGGGGGGCACTAAAGGAAACAAAATAACCAAATAATAAAATATGTGCAGGAAAAAAAAACATAAAGTCACAAAAATGAGAAACAAAATGGCCTTAAAATAACAAAAAGGTCAAATTTCCCCAAAGAATGAAAAATGATATAAAACAAAATGAGACGCACAAAGATCCAGAACGACACAAAAGCAGAGACACACAATCACCCAAAACAGAGCAAGT